ATCTATCTCTCTATCTATCTCTCTATCTATTTATAAAATTTATATGCTGCCCAATCCTGAAGGACTCCGGGCGGCTTACAAGAAAGAGGAAAAAAAAACAGTTTAAAATAACAACACCTCGTGCATTCATTCTAATCGGGGCTGGACCTCAACAGTGAGGTCGACAGCCCCAGGCCTGCCGGAACAGCCAAGTTTTTACAGCTTTCCTAAAGGCCATGAGAGAGGGTATGGTCCGGATCTCTGGGGGTAGCTGATTCCAAAGAGTCGGAGCAGCCACAGAGAAGGCTCTCCTCCGGGGGCCTGCCAGCCGACACTGTCTGGCTGACGGCATCTGAAGGAGGCCCAATCTGTGGGATCTTACTGGCCGCTGGGAGGTATGTGGCAGTAGGCGGTCTCGAAGGTATAAGGTATTTTTCCATGCAACAGGTATTTTTTCTTCTCTAAGGTATCTCAAGTACAATACTGTGACCACCAGCTTTCAGAACTTCAACTGTAACACAGTCATTTTCTGAAGCTTTGCCATTTTTCATTGATTTTATGGCAATAGAATCAATGAGAAATGATTTTAAATTGAAACTGGACTAATTTCTTTTTAGAGCTATCTCTCTTGTCTGAATTAAATTAAATTAAATTACTTTCCGGTCTACATGATAGAATATTCTTGTGAAATTTGTAAATTTGAAATAATAAAGATGAAAAATTATATTATTTATTAATGTCTTTAAAAAAATGAGCCTGAGATATTATACCTTCTGATCATGCTATTTCTCTGGGTGTTATATATTCTCTATGCCTTTTTAAAAAAAGAAAAGAAAAACAAAGGCACTCAGTGTTGTACACCAAATCTTTGGCAATTAATGCATTAATTATTTCCAATACATCTATAAATCATAGCTTACTGTCTATAAGTTACTTTAGTGATAATATTCATTGCTAAAAGAGCAGGATTTTTCTTATATTAATGTATCTATTATCCTCATTAACCAAGCCAAAGCTAATTTTTTGCTTCCAAAAAGTTGTTTCAATATTTTTCACATTATTCTTGATGGACAGTTGCATTTTTTGTTTCCAAAGGAAACATATATGGATTCTTGAATTTTCTTGCTAAAATTAAAAACAATCAGATATTCAGACTGCAATCTTGCATATATTTGTCTTGGAGTTAGCCACATGGATCTTGATAGTGTTGATTTTTATGATTAGGGCAGGTGTAGTTTTTTTTCAGGTCACAGTCTTTGCTTATATCTTTTTCACAATTAGCTTTTTTAAAAAAATGAGTTTAGCTATTATATTGGACTCCTATAGTGAGGATCTCTCTCACTTACCCTCTTACAAGTGAGTGAGATCTTCAGCATAGTTCTCTGATATAATAGCTAAATAATCTCAGCACAAAGGAAGACAAAGAAACAAATTCAAGTCATCTAGTGCAGACTGCCTGCCTTGATGGAACAGTGGTTAGAATACAGTATTGAAGGCTAATTCTGCCGATTGCCGGCAGTTCAATTCTGACCTGCTCAAGGTTGACTCAGCCTTTCAGCCTTCTGAGGTTGGTAAAATGAGGACTCAGATGGTTGGGGCAATATGCTGACATTGTAAATTGCTTAGAGAGGGCTGTAAAGCATGATGGAGTGGTATATAAGTCTAAGTGCTATTGCTATTGGCAGGAAGAAAGAAATAATTAGGGTCATTTGCAAAAAAATTGTCGGTGAGGAATATAATAATTACTTTTATATGTTTTTGTTAATCTCTTTTTAAACATTTTTTGTTAGAAAACATACATAAAATTCAGTTGGAATTAATTTTCACAGAAATGTGTAGTATTCTCCAATGTTGGTAGAGATAGCATCCAGGTAGGGGTTGTTGTTGTCTATTATCCAATAGGACTGAGTCTGCAGCTTTAATGTCCTGCCTCCTCCTACAGCTCCACCCAGCTTTGTGACTCTATTTTAGAGACTGGACGTGTGGAACAATCTCTCCCAGAAAAAAAAAAAACATTTTTCTCCACTAGGAGCAGCCACCTCAGTAGTCTGGGCAACCAGCCTCCACGACAAAGTTTGTAGGGCTGCCACTTGGACCACTCCATTGCCATTTATCCGCCATTATAAAATTGATAGTTACGCATCGGCCGATGTGGCATTTGGCAGGCAGGTTTTACAACATGTTCAAGTGAGCCAGGAGATTTCGGCCTGGACGTCAACCCACCTGTGATGAGAGGACAAGCTTTGGAATGTCCCATGCCTGGATGCTATCTCCATCAATATTGGAGAATGGGTGTTGGTCCTACCGTTCTCTGGGAAGGTGGAGATAGCATCCAGCCCCATTCTGAAGGAGGTCCGGGCTGGTGTCAGTGGGGAGAGATTGTTCCTTCATCACACATCAGTATGCAGCAACGTCTTCATCAAAAAGCTGGGTGGAGCTGTAGGAGGAGGCGGGACATTAAAGTTGCAGACTCAGTCTTATTGGTTAATAGACGAGGACAACCCATTCCTGGATCCTATCTCCACCTTCCTCAAGAATGGGCATCTTAGGTAAGACCAATACCCATTCTCTTAAAGTTAGTTTTATTTTTCTGAAATGTATTTCTTGCATGAATATTTAATTAATTTTTACTGTTATATTAATTATAAATTATTCTGTTTAAATAGTTATGCAGAAGGCATGGCGGGAAAGGAATCCTCAAGCGCGAATCAAAGCAGCGTATCAAGCTTTAGAATTAAATAATGAGTAAGTTTGCATGTTCATTCTAAACCAGGTGTGTCCAACCTATGGCCCGAGGGCCACATGTGGCCCTTGACAGCTATTAATGTGGTTCCACAAGATATAATAAAAATGTACAAAAATAAAGGAAGCTTGTTATTTATATACGTTAAGTATATTATATATTTTATATGCAGGCCAAGACAACACCTCTTTGTTCAATGTCTAGGCAAGTGAAAAAGTTGGTACACCCATGATCTAAAAAGAATTGAATTAAAATTCTGAATTTTAGAATTTCAGTTTAAATTTAACAAAAATAATTTGACATTACTTAGTCATATTATTAGCACATTTAAATATGTGTAATAGCATTCTAATTTCTTGAATGTTGTCCCATGTTGTTCAGTTCTTTAACTAAGATACAAGATTTTTTTAGAGGCTCAACTCTGCAAATGAAGTATGACGCAATAGTGTGAAAATAACTGGATCTAGATCTGCCATTTAGTTCTTGAAACAAAAGTACACAGTGGAAGTCAATAGGTGCTTATTGGCTATATTGCCTTCAGTGAGTGAACGAGGAAAACACATGCCTTATTCAGTATTATTACAAGTTTCCTATTCAGAAAATCTTCATTTCTGTTCTAATATACAAATTCAAAATAAATCCTAAACACAATATTTCATTGTTTGTTAAATTCATATACCACCCGACTCATTGGTTGGCTTACAAAATTTTCCCTTTCTCTTTCAGCTGTGCCACAGCATATATTCTTCTGGCTGAGGAAGAAGCAACTACTATTTTAGAAGCTGAAAAATATTTTAAACAAGCTCTGAGGGCAGGAGAAACAGTTTATAAAAAGTCTCAGCATACCAGTTCACAAATTCCACACCACGAGGCACAGCTTAGTAAGTATTGTTACGCAAATTGTTTGAAATCGGTAGATTTGAGATTGGTCTCACTCTAATCTTTAACACAAAGTTTAATACTTTTTCAATGATACGGGTTAAAAGCAATATAATACAAAACTGTAAATCAACAGAAAGCAGTAAAATTGATCTTATTGTGCAACCTATGAGTGTCCATTTGACAAATAATCTGTAAAGCCCAAAGCGACACAGTGAAATCCAGTTGTGTCCCACACTTTATTTGCTTCAGTGTTTACTTGCCAAATTAAAGCTCTACCCTAATAGATAGCCTAACACAGTGATGTGCACGGAGCGACTGACGGTAGTTTGTGCCGGCTGCGGCCGTTCAAACTAGCGTCAGTCGCCCCCGTGTTCAGCAAAGCAAGCCCGGGGAGGTCCTTTGTGGGTGGCCAATCCTAGCCGCCCAGCGCTGTGGCTGAAATAAACCCCCCAAACCCCTGCTGCCACCGGAATATCTGCTGCCTCCTCCTCCTCCTCCAAGAGCACTGCCGGATTTGCTGCCCGACACTGCGGCTGAGGTGAAGCCGCCAAAGCTCCTGCCAGCACCCCTGCCCAGCTGAGGTATTCCGAGTGGAGAGGGAGGCACTGCCGCCGCTGCCATGGGCAAGGGCGCCAACGGGAGCTTTGGTGGCTTCACCTCAGCTGCAGTGCTGGGCAGCAAATGTGGTGGTGCTGTTGGAGGAGGAGGCGGTGGCAGCAGTTATTCTAGTGGTGGCATTGGCATCTTCAGCGGCAACCCTGCCCCCTGTGAAAAAACCTAAGATGGAGCAGATCCACACAGATGACGTCGCCGCGACATGACTGGAGGAGGAATTCTGGAAGTCCACAAGTCTTAAAGATGTCAGGTTTGAAGACCCCTGAGGTTTTTTTTCCTAAAGGGTTATGGGTGCAAGGATCTTGTAACTTGACAGCTTTAACACTTGCATGCTTCAGTGCCAGAGATTCTGAGCCAACATGACTGGAGGAGGAATTCTGGGAGTTGAAGTCCACAAGTCTTAAAGCTGTCAGGTTTGAAGATCCCTGAGTTTTTTTTTTTAAAGGATTAGTGGTGCAAGGATCTTGTAACAACAGCTTTAAGATTTGCGTGCTTCAAATGCCAGACTTTCTGAGCCAACATTTTGGTTGCTAAGCAGGAGCGTTGTTAAGTGATACTGATATTATATAACACTTTTAATTAAGCGGGTACCTTGAATAAACATAACTTTGAGTTTCAAATAATACTGATTTCGTTGTTGTCTTAGGTGACATCTGTGAAAAAAATTCAGGTGCTCAGGCATGAAAATGTGCCGCTCAAACACTATACTTTTCTGCTCACACTGAAAAAAAATTAGAGGGAACATTGGTGGCTACCCCCCCCCCCAATCTAGCATAGTGCCTTAATTTGGGGTTTTCTCTGAAATCCTTCTCAGTTGCCTTTTGCCTGAGAAACCTATTCTGCGATGATTCCCCTCTGCTTCTTCAGGTGCACATTCTATCACATCTTGCTCAATAATTCTTTGTTCAGCAAACATTCAAAGTTACAAGAGCGATAAACGAATGAAAATTTAAAAGATTACCTCTTTTAGTTTTTACAAACACAATCTTTATGTATATAGCAATATCAGCATAAAATATATTTTCCCCCAATGTAATAGTATTTTATTAGAATCCCATGTATAATGAGTATTAAAAATTAAAGTAAAACATTTATTTATTTATTATTTATTTATTTAGACAAAATAACAAGTTATACTGTACAAATGTAAATAAAACCTCAGAGACATTGGTAACTTTTGACAATAATACATTAGCTGAATCTCTTTTCAGGAAGAGATACCAATGTATTGGTTTATGTGAAAAGAAGACTAGCTATGTGTGCAAGAAAACTTGGAAGAATTAAAGAAGCAGCAAAAATGATGAGGGATGTAAGTGAGATATTTACATGGAAGTGTTTAAAGAAATAGTGGGATTTTTTTCATTTTCTCAGTTTTAGTTTTTTTAATTTATTAGGTAAAAGAAGATCTGTAGTGTATTGTGATTAAAAATACTGGTAATTGTAAGGGTGGTTTAAATTTGCATAGTAAGGGCATGTAAATTGAACTCAAAACACTTGTAGGATGGTCAAATCAATCAGTTTTGAGTGAGAAACAGATGTAATTAATTTGAAATAACAATTTTTGAAATTATTATACGTCTATCTGCCATAGTCAAAATGACTGTTGTCAGCTTACAGTCTTCATAACTTGAAAATTGATTTTTTAAATTTACAATATTTTCTACATCATTATTGTGTATGAATGTTTTTTAAAAGTGGCTATGCTAGCCTCTACCTTCTGATTCATTTGGATATTAAGGATTATCAGGATGCATTTCCGGTCATTTTCACTCTATGACTTTTCCAATTAGATGACTTTGCTTGTTTTAAAAGCTGAGTTGGATTTTTGTGACTTGGTGTCAGTTTAAATGAAATCATAGCTTATTTTTTTCCCCTTCATGTTGGCAAGATATTTTGCTTACCTTATTCTGCCTTTCCGTTTCTGGCATTTAAAAAAACCCTTGCAAATGTGTATTGTCTACTTCTCTGTAGTTCACACTCATTTTTACCAAATTTTATATAAAATATTTTTCTCCTCCTGTTTATAGTTAATGAAAGAATTTCCTGTCCTAAGTGTATTGAATATCCATGAAAACCTCCTAGAAACACTTCTGGAGCTGCAGGCTTATGCTGATGTCCAGGCAGTTCTAGCAAAGTATGATGGTAAGAATGTATAATAATTACGAAGTTTATGTTTCTGCATTGGCAATAAACAGTGGGAATAGGAAGGGTAATATGATTGTGTAGTGGAGAAAATTAGGTGATGGTGATTGTTTGAAGTAAAGATTGTGGTAAATAAAATGAACATTAGGAACACATATTTATGAAGCAAGATTACTGGCTATGTAGGTCTTTAGTAATCCAGAAAAATAAAAGTTATAGATAATATGAAGCTGTGAAACAAAATAGTAACTTGCAACTGGTTTAAAAGAGTAGAATATAGATCATGCATGTCTCTCTTTCTTGTACCTATAATTCAAATCATAACAACAAGAGAAATTTGTTTTAAAACTACACATGGCCTATTTGAAGGTCTGAACTTTTGTTGTAGAAATCCATTATTATTTATTACTATATTCATTATTACTGCATTTATATCCTGACTTTTCTCTTGGGTACTCAAGGTTGTATATCATTTTTATTTCTATGATGAGATAAGTTAAACTGAGAAAAAGTAACTGTTAAGGATCACTTAATGAGCTCTGTGATCAAGTGAGGACTTGGATCTCTTTAGTTCAAGATTGAATGGCTGTGGGTTTTAAGCCTTCCTCTCCGCCAAGAATCTAATGATCTTCCATTGTTAATTTTGGATGGGTTAACAGTTCCTCAGACATGGACTTGATCTGGAATCTTTCTCTGCTAGTGCCTTTAGCAGGTGGCAGCTGTGACCAGATCGGACTTTGCACAAATGCATCCATGCTCCATTTGTACCCACTCCTAGATTGGGAGGCACTGGTCATTTTCACCTATACCCTAATCACCTGCCAGTTGGGTTATTTAAGCGCACTGTACATGGGGCTGCCCTTAAAAAGCATTCAGAACCTTTAGGTGGTCCAGAATGATGTAGCACATGCAGTATTGTAGGTCCCATGTAACTACTGCCTGATGAGCTATCCTGGGTCCCAGTTGCTTCTGAGTATAATTTAGAGTTGAGGGTTGAGGTCATTACCATGATTGCCAATGCCCAAAGATTTCTCTCTCTTACACTAAATCCAATAGAGTGGGCATGCTTCAGGTCCCTTTGATAGAAGAGTATAATCTGGTGGGTTTTTGGAAGCCAGGCTTTTTGATTATAGTACCTGCCTTATGGAATAGCTGTGTCCTAGAGATTTGGAATGTCACATCCCTGAAGTACTTTTGAAAGTCCATGAAGTCTTGGTTTCCCCTAGGCACTGTTGTAGGTATGTCAATAGAGTTAATGGAGCCTGTTGCCTATTGAGGCATATGTTTATAAGGTGCTTATTCATCACTTAGAGTTCATTGGGAGATGTATGGCTATATAAATTTGTAAAAGCAATCAATCAATCTCCCCAGCCCAAACCTAGTATGCTCACTGCAACTCTACCTTGGCTGAATATATTAAATGTGGAAATATTGGATGAAGTACAGTATATGATTGATTTTTGGCTTTCAGATTTAATCTCATATATCTAATATATAGATAAATTCCTGTATAAATTGCTGTTCAGTGAAGGAATGATTTTGAAATGTTTCTTACTTTAGGATCTAAAGACAACAATTTATTGTTCCATAGATATCAGCCTTCCAAAATCAGCAGCAATATGTTACACAGCAGCACTCTTAAAAGCGAGAGCAGTTTCAGATAGGTAAGTGAAATATTTGATAGGCATATTGATATACAGTAAAACAGTTATAACAGATTTTCATTATTGCACCATGGCAGTTTTGCTTCCAAATTGATATAAAAGATAACATAAATCAAATGTCTTTGCTCCTCTTTTTTAAAAAAAATCAACATAGCATTTACCCAATGTTATTGTTCTAAAATAAAAACTTTTTACATAGCAAATCTTTTTCATTACATACTATTTTCCTGCCAAATTGCTGCTAAAAAGTAATTGAAATATAGAAATATGCAATATATAAGCATACAAATTCAATTGTTATCATATATAGTAGATACGCACACTATTCATTTCCCAAAAACCACTTCAAAACTGTGTTATGGAAAGTGGCAAAGCGAATTACAAATATTTGGTTATCTAATTTCTTATTCTAAGTTAGCACTGACCTTTGCCAGACTTTGCCATTTTATGCAAGCCAAGGGCTACATATAGCCTGAATGCTGGAAGCAGCATTCGAAAGGGAATAAAACTTGGTTAACATAAAATTGATTTTCTTAAAAGTAAATAAAATGGCTTAAATATTTGATATGAATACTCTGCATATATTTAAAATTAAAATTCAGAAGAAAATTTTGGAAGGTTTGGGGGAGCCATACCTAAAAATTTGTGTGCTGTTTTGATTTCTGTAGATAGGTAGATGGTTTGAAACTATGTAGAGTAATTAAAATTTAAGTTTGATTTTGCTTTCCTGGCTAGTTTAGCTATATATTGGGCTTATTTAGTGTTTTGCAATTCAATCTATTTATGCTTATTCAATGACTATTTCTTCAATAACCCATTGGATAGCCATAAATAGATAGAATTGCAAAACACTAACCATACTTACAGTAATACACCACAATGGCTGGATTCTTACAACATATTAAGCCAAACAACCTTTATTAGTATTTTGCCTGAAACAGTTTGTGAAGCAAGGAAAACTTCATATATTTTAGATATGCACACACACACACAAACACACACACATACACACACACACATTTGACAAGTAGAAACAAGGCTTAGTTCTTTATTTCTGGTATAAGGATATTAATATTACTAATTTAAACCTTTATCCTATCATTTTTCATCATTGCTTTATCTTTTTTAAGATGCTGGATTATGAATTGTTTCTGTTTTGTAATATAACAAATTTGGAATGTTGTTATAGGTTTTCTCCAGAAACAGCTTCTAGAAGGGGACTTAGCACAGCCGAAATTAATGCTGTAGAAGCAATACATAGAGCAGTAGAATTTAACCCTCATGTTCCAAAGGTAAGTACATCCCTTACCTCCCTCTTCAAAGACAAGTGTTGATTAAATGCTGATAACATTTAAATAGGATTGAAATATCTTCACTGATCTTATAAATACCAAAATAATTTGTGTGTTTTATAATTTTTTTTAAATCATTTTTTACATAATATATTGTGAATGAAATATGTATGAATAGACAACTTTGCAATAAAGCCCATTAAAATCATCAGATAAAATCCAGGAGATAACAGGGGAGTAGGGAAGCAAGAGGAAGAAGTTGAACCCTATAACAGTCTCCCAAATTGAACTGTGAGGGTGAAAGATATTGAAGACCATTGAATTATCAGGAAAGGCTAGGATGGGTGCATTCCCCTCCTTCCAACTCCACAAAAGAACAACCAATGCTGTCATAGTACTATATCCCAGTCTGAAATCAGACTGTAAAGGTTCTGTGTAATCTGCTCCCTCTAGGACATGTATATATGATTACACTTACAAGTGGGCAAATAATGTATATCCCGGTAACCATAATTTTGTATGACCATTATAAAAAAGTATTCTTTCTATCATTGGCACTTCCATGATTATCCCAGTACGTAAAGGGAAAGGATTCTATCTTTAGTTTGTATAAGGGAAATATCAAAATAATTATATAAATATATTCTTAATTATTTTTGTTCTAGTGAGCATATTTGGAATACTTAGATTTATTTTAATATATGTAGGTGTAACAGATTAAAGACTTTCTGTAAAATCTGTATTGCCCAATTGGGGGTGGGGGGAAACAGAACAAGAAATTTTATGCCCAATTCATCTTTTCCTGAATAAATGTGTCTACAGGAATTGGAACTTCAAATAGCCATTGCTGTCACTGATAATATATTACCTTTATAGCCTTAGTAATAGAAGGATGGCTTATCCCTGGACTTAATCCTCTTTTGATAATCAGGGTGTTCAAATGGTTCTTTTCTTGAGGTTTGACTTTATTCATCTAGTCTTCTCTTTTCTTGAATATGCATTGGAAGAGCTAATTGCTCTAAGGATTTTCTACTCCCTTGCATGATTGATCAAAAGCATAGCAAATTCATTTCAGGTAGTCTCATTTCTCTAGCTTCTGCTTTTAGGGTAGAAGACAGATGTATTATTATCCAATAATAATAATGTCTGTCCTATTGCTTCAGGACTACTGTGTCTTTGAGGAGTTTAATATGTTTTATGTACTTCTGACTGGTATAACATATCAAGAAAACTGATGTCATAGTAATACTTTTATAGTCTTATCTAATAAAACTTTCAGATTTAATTTTTTTGTATTAATGTGAGTTATATGTCAAGGGGCTGTGAAAAAAAACATCAATTTTTTTAGGCTCACTGTTAACTTTGATTAAAAGGTTATTTTAATCAAAGGTAACTGTGGCTCTAAAAACTATAAATAAACACCAAGCTAATAATTTCATGAACTAAAAACAATTATAATAGAGGCTGGATATTTGAAACCACTTTCACATTGACAATATGTGAATGATTCCTTAGTGGTTTAAAAAAATGATCAAGAAGAATTAAATAGGATTAGTAAGAGTATTGCCCTCCAGTAAATAGACTCAAGCACTAAGAGAAGAATCAGTCAGGCAGTAAATGCATTTTGTTTCACCATCACAACTTTGGCTACATTCCTTCAACCTGAAATGGGGAAAGTTAAATCCTCTAAACTGAATTAGTAAATAATCTCTTTGTTCATGGTATCTGATGGAGTAAAGCAACAACTTGGTTACATTCTTAAGAGTTTTCTTGGTTACATTCTTAGAGTCAACAGAAGTATTGGGTACAACCAAATAATGTACCTAATACTTCAAATAACTATTACTAAATGGAATGGGCTAATTCATATATTGTAGGCATTAGTTAATTGAATGATTACAAATGGCTTTTTCTCAAGGACATATTTCACATGGATAAAATATTTTCAGGGTACTGTAGTTTTTGGCTGATAAGAATCCAAAATAACGCTGGAAGGAGATAGTTATTAGTGTCATTTACAAATACATTCTAAGTATTTAAAAATAATTTATTATATGCATTTATTTTACTTTCTGCTTCAGGTTTAGAATCAATAATGAACTCAATTAGAAAGTATTTTCAGTTGCAATATTAGGACAGAAGGAAGAACATTGCAGCAAAAACATCAGTTTTTAAATTTGCTGCTTTTTTCAGAATAGGAATTGGAGACTTTCATTTGAAACCTACTTGGTAATAGATAACTATAATGAGCAAGCACATCACTTTTGAGTTATATGTATGAAAGTACGTAATACTATACTTTTGTAATAATCTCCAACACTTGCATTACTCCCCTAATAAACTGTCTGCTTGAGCTGCTATCTTATTCTATTTTGTACACAAATCGTTTTATCAGAATTATCTTTTACCAGGATAATATTTTTGAAGGCACATAATTTAAATCTTTATCAAGCTTTTGCACAAAGCAGTGAACCTAACAATACTGTTTCCAAATAAAATATCCACATTAAATTGATTTGGTCTTTCCCACTGTGAAATATAGCCCCCACTTTTAAAAAATATATATGAATTTGCCAAATAATTCACGTTTTCTTACAAGCAATGCTTTCTCTTTCTGGTATACAAATCAAGATTACAGTAATTTATTTATTTTTACAAAGAATAGTTCCTCATCACTTCTAATTTTTTCTGCCAGTACTTGCTAGAAATGAAAAGCTTAATTTTGCCTCCTGAACATATTCTGAAGCGGGGGGACAGTGAAGCAGTAGCCTATGCATTCTTCCATCTTCAGCACTGGAAGCGAATAGAAGGGGCCCTTAACTTGCTGCACTGCACATGGGAAGGCAGTAAGTATTCTGTCAGTAATATAAACTTATTTTTTTACTAGTGTAATACAATACAATACAATAAAACGTTATCTGACACATTTTAGCAGGATTTTTAAATTGATAGTTTGTTTTAATGGTAGTCATAATCTGTTGATGACTTATAATAAACAACAGCTTGATAGTAAATTAAAATTTGAAACCATGATCTCTTGTTGACTTATGGAAACAAGACAGTTGTTATTAGTATTACAAACCTTAGACGAAATTGATGTTTGTTTTAAAAGTTTGTTTTTTCCTAAGAAAAATAAAAATTCATAAATCTCTCTTCTTCCCTCACCAAATTTCTCTGTTGAACAGATATTATTAGTCTGCTTTTCTACATTTCTGTTTTTAAAGCTGCTAAATAAAATGCATTTAAATAAAATGCCATTCTTAAACTCCCCAAATTTCATTGAATTTAATTGTTCTTTTATTGGGAAACAAGATGGATTATAAGAAATCTCCTAAGATTTCTTATAAATACATCACAAGTAGCCAGGCTTGATAATTTTTTTGCTCCACAACCTAAAGATATCTATTGTTTTCAGAACAGTTAGAGGAAACTGCTGATTTCTGGAGATGATTATTTTTGTAAATAAACTGTATAGAAATAGAATCAGAAATTAATTTTAACATGTGTTTCACTATCAATTTCCAGACAGTCTTTGGAATTCTCACTCTTAAATTATGGCAAAATCTACTATGTGGAAACATGGAAATCATTTTTTATCATCCCACTGTGGCATACTTTTTAAAAATACCCGCATTGCAAGTTGCTGCTTTGTTTATACTGTACCATCCAACAAAGCTTTTCTAAGCTGAATAGAATCCTTAATTCATTATTAGGCTATATAGAAAGCAAAGCCTCTATCAAAGTAACATGATATAATTTGTAAGGTATTTTGAAGTTTATTATTTTTCCTGTCTAACAGTACTTGGATGTCATTGTGAAGGCAGGTGTTGAAATCAAAGAGGTCAGAAGTATCATCATATTTATTTGAATCTCAGTGATCTTCCACTGTTAAATATCCAACTATTTGCAATATTTAAATGCTGTTCAGTTTGTGAAGAATGTTACTAGTTGCTAAAAGTAAATTTAGGGGATTTGATGAGTATATTATGGCATTGCTTAAAAAGAGTTTGATTGCAGGTTTGTCAAAGCAAACTTAAATATGTTTTCCTATTAAATATCTGTTTTAAAATGTCTCGTATTTTGTTTTGGTGGCTGCTAGTCAAATCTCACTGTATTTTATACTTATAATTACTTTCTAAATTCTCATGGACAAGTTTCTTATCCTTTTTATAGACTACACTGAGAAATGACTTTACCAAGATCCTATATATGTATGTAACATTTGTAGAAATTATAAAGCAGTTTTTTCCATGACTTGATGCCAATCATTTTTACCTCTCTTTCAGCATTTAGAATGATTCCATATCCATTAGAAAAGGGACATCTATTTTATCCTTATCCCAGTTGCACAGAGACAGCAGACAGAGAGTTATTACCAAGTAAGTGGCATTTTTCATATATATTTTTCTTTATCTAAGGTATAGCCTTTGTATACTGTATTTCTATGCAAACATATTCCATACATCTATAGGTTTAAATATTGTTAATTTTAAACATGACACTGAGGAAGGATAGTATTGATCTGCTATAGTAGAATCTCTCTTTATGTTAAATTTACAATGTGTAGTCTTTGCAGTGCAGCTCCCTTTATACATTGAAAATTTTACTTTATAAAACATGGTGAGGAACCTTAGTCCCTTAAGATGTTCTTGGTCTTCTGATTTCCATTAGCAATGGCTTGAATAATCAGTCATCAGGAAAGTTAGAACTGTATACAAATAGCATTTGGAGACCAAAAAATAATATATGAAAATAACTTGCAATTTTCTTTTATTTCCAAGATGTAAAAGAATAATATGTGATAAATTCTCTGCATATTTTAATTAAAGATATTTTTGCTTCAGCTGAACAGAATAAAATTACCTTCCTTAGATACATATTTGACTGATTGCTTAGTTCAAGGGAATGACATTAAGTGTTACTTGTTCTCATATCCTCAGATCAGAACAGACATTTGAAGCATTTATTGAACAAAGTTTTCAAATTATAGGAATTGCAAATTATACCAATAATCTTGTGAGTCCATAGTAAGGCTTTTTCAGTTGGTATTTGCTTCTTTTTCAACGGGCAATCTGAACATATATGAATAGTGTAGAATGAAACAAAGATTCGTACTCCATTTTTGAAGAGGCAAGAAGGAAATAAAAAGTAATAACTAAAAGAGTTGGAGGTATGAAATAATAAAAAGAAAAATTAAACTAAAATTAATGTGTTAATTTTACCAACAGAGCTCGCTATATCTTTCTCTCATTTCAATTTTTAACTCCATCCAGCAATGACTTTCTTGGATTTCCTTCTCTCTCTCTCTCTCTCTCTCTTTCCCTCCCTTCCTCCCTCCCTCTCCCTCTATTTCTTTCCTTCTCTCTCTGTGTGTGCGCGTGTGTATATGTATAGACACACACCTAAACATATCAATACATACATGTACATCTACATACACAGGGAGAGATAGAGCTATAGGGATATATATACACATACATACATATACATCAAACAATCAAGAATGTATCATTGGAAGAAATGAAACCATGAATATTGGATATTGACTCCACTGCTCGGTTTTGCCAACTGTAGATTTTATATAATCCTTTTTTAATCAGATAAAAATTAGACTGTTACCCTCTATACAAATACTATACACAGTATTCCATGCTAACTATAGTGACATTTTGCTGTTTAGTTAGGTAATCCTTGACTAATGGCCACAATTAGGATCAGAATTGATTATGGAATTGAAGATAATATATGTAAAAGGTTCTTACATATAGTTCCTAAAATTGATATATCTAATGTTCCAGATAATTTAGAAACTCCTTTTAAATAAATGTTGTTTGCTAAAGCATTTGCATATAATGGCTTCAAAGTTATATTGTTTGTCTTCAGCACTTCACTTCTAGTTTATCATAAATATGAATTAAACTCTTGCAAAATTTGTAAAGATTGATTGATGGTGTTAGGCAGTCTGAAAATACCTTACTAATGTTTCTGTTGCTGGGTGTAAATTTTTCACATAATTGTAAAGCTTTATAAAGCTTTATAAAGTTCATAGTATTTGCTGTTGAGATTCTGTGAAATGGTAACTTAAGGAGTCTGGCTTTAAAAAAAAAAGTATAAGGAATGCTTGTAACCAGAACAGCCAAGGAACACATCTGCCATAGATGGATGCAGTTGGATAGATGGTAAAGATTACATCTCAAAAAGCTGTACTTAAAATTAATTAAAATATTCCCCAGACTGCTTTAAATTAGTCATTTCTCACTCATGCAGGATATTGCACAAGGAATACTTTGGCTAGTGGATAAATCTAAGCACTAAGCTTCCATTATAATTAAACTCCTATGCATGCAGACATTTCAGCACAGTAACTCATGCATTCCTGTTCATTTTATTTATGATCAACTTTGCATTTAAGCATAATATGTTTTAAAGCCAAGATTAAATGTCAGGGTGTTTTCAAATTAATGTTGTACACACACACAAACACACTCACACACACACACACAACCTACAGACGTACAAAGACCATATTCAACAGGTACCTCTGCTCCCTTTAGTAAAGCTATTAAGTCCTGGCCCTTCCTCCAGGCCTTAGGGTCCACTTGAACTGGCTTTTTGGTTGTTTTACTCTGTTGTTTGAGCTTTGTTTTATATTTTGTATTTATATATTGTACATATTTAATGTTATGGAGGGAATATTTGTTCTTTGATATGTTGTTTGTTTTTTATGCCATATGCTTAGAGTCACATTGTTGAGTTAGGTGGCCTAATAAATTTCATAAACAAGCAAACAAATAGATGGATTATTGCCAAACAAAACTTCTGTTTTGGTGAATGATGAAAATATGTAAGACTGATCTCAAAATATATTTTAAGGTGCAACAGAGTCTGCTTAATGGGGCTACAATGTATTATAAAAGTAGATCAGACTGACAGAGCAATTTTATGTTGCTTTCAATAGCCTATTCATTTTTAATAAACAATATGTATGTATGTATGTATGTATGTATGTATGTATGTATGTATGTATGTAATATTAGTACTGATTACTTATTTATCTGAAAAAGGAAGAACTTTAAAAATGTATTGGGAAATCTCTATTTGAATGGAATATTTTAGAGTATATAGTTATTGTTAGTTTAAAGTACAGAGACTTAAAAGAGAAATTCAGAAATCTATATAGGCTTCCACTTGTGATAGTATAAAAGAGAAAGCTTAAGATCAGAAATGATTTAAACTGTTAAAAGTTAGTTCATTAAGAAGAAGCTAAGGTCAATGTAGAATGTCATTAATTTCTTTATTTCTTTTTTCTCAATAGATTTTAGACTGTGTTAGTTAAAAATCCATACCGTGTACGGGTTCTGGGAAGTCGGAGGGGGGGAAGGAGGAGGGGGGTTGGGGGGTGGAGGGAGGGAGGGGCACACACAACAAAATTGTACTTCAATGTCTTAATGATTGACAAATGATGAAATATTTGTGTTTTTTTTAAAAGAAATAAAATAAATATTTGAAAAAAAATAAAAAATAAATATGTAACAAAAGAGAAATCTGGAGATTTTTTAATGTCATATGAACAGAACAACATACAATATATAAATAAAATAAAGTACAATTGTGACAGTAAGACCCAATTTTAATAAATAAATAATATCCAGTTACTGTATTAAATTCAGTATTAATAATAAATTCATTAAATAAACAACAATGCAATTACATTTTAAAGCTATAAAATATATTAAAAATCAGTATTAAAAACAAGCAAATAAGTGAAAGATAAATATTCTTTATAGCTTATGATAATATTACCTTATAAATGTTTCCTAACCTAGTATATAGCTGCAGTGACACAATATATAATGGTAGCAATTGAACTATTTTAACTTCTTTGGCATGTGCTTTATGTTCAATTTAGGAAAGGTAGAAAGGATACTCACAACCTGCTTTTTTTAAATAGAGTCCTCTTTCAGCTTGTTGAAAGTTTGATAAAATGTGTTCCGGCTCTTAACCAAACCCTTTAGAAACCTTTATTTAGAGCAAACTTTAATAGTGTTCAACAATGGTCAGTCTTCAACTCCTATGTTTTACTTAAAATGAAATTTAAGAATACAATTGTGATTTTCATTATAGTAGAAAAGTTTCCAGTAAGATTTTCTGAAGAAAAATGTGGCAACATTTCCTAATTCATCAAATAATTGGTTTTTCTTTTTCTTTGTTTCTTTCTTTCAGCATTTCATGATGTATCTGTGTATCCCCAGAAAGATCTTCCTTTTTTCATCCATTTTACAGCAGGGCTATGTTCTTTCACAGCAATGTTAGCCCTCCTCACACACCAGTTTCCAGAGCTCATGGTCATTTTTGCTAAAGCTGTAAGTATTGTCTCTACTCCAGGGTTTTCTTAAGATGTTTGTGAGGCATGCAGAAATTGAATGAAATTGAGACCTTCATCTACAAATAGAGCCACAGACATCTAAAAGTCTGATTCAACATTGATTGTGGTTTCTTTTTCTCGTTTAAGAAAAAATGATTAAAGATCAGATGAAAATCTTAAGATTGATTTAGTCTGCCTTAAATTAAGAAGCAACGTTTAATGTGTCACAATTTTGGGCTTTTAAAGTTGGGAACCTTATTCAGCCATTTCAAATAATGTTTTTGTAACTGTTAGAATTTCTTAATAATTAATGTTTATTTCATCAGCATGAAAATATTTAGATTGTAAGCTCTCTGGGCAAGAAGAAACTTTTCCTCAGTATCCCTTCCTGTTACTGGACAAATATATTAAAATAAATAATTGTATTTTTTCTCTTTGCTTACTAAATAAACTTTTTGGGGGAACTGAATGGAATTTGTAATATGGTGCTATGACCTAAATGTTGGTACCATAAATTCAAGTCTACCTGCAAACGTTTCACCTTCCCTAAGGAAAATATAGAGTAATAGATTAATTGATATAGTGAAATTGGAACCATGCAGAATTTTCCTATTTTTTACTTGTATTTTCAGAATATATATTTATTGAAATTTGAAAATAAAATTCAATTTATGTGTACAATTGATTAAATCTGAAATTATGTTCGGGTTTTTTTTTTGTTCTGTTAGTAATCTTGATACTGTTTGAAGAGAGAAAAAGAGACTTTGTTTCACCTAACATCCAACTTCAACTCATTGCATTACTTTAGATACAATTTTTTGTAGATTGAATTTCCAAATACTTTTACTACAAACTTGCAGTGAACTTCAATGAGTTTTTAAATAGAGCTCAAAAAACAGGCTTAAAACTAGCTAGAAAAATAGAATTATTATTCCGAATTGTGAACATCATGCATAAGTATTCCTTAAATTAAAAGAAACAAGAAATATATATTATACAAATCTAATAATGAATTCTTAGATTATATTGATGGACATAGTTGGACTCATCAAGAGTTATTTCTCTTTAATAAAATTCAAAATTATATTTTATGATATTCATTTTATGAAACCAACCTGAATCTAAAATAGTACATACTATAGTTAGTAAAATAATGTATGATTTATTCTAGTAGTGTTTAGTTTCTCTTCTATGGTGGTTTTTGATGACACTAAATGATACTTCTTTACAAATTCTCCCCAAAAGCAAATTTTCATTATAATACAAAATAAAGGATTTTATATCAGTAAATAGTACCATAAAATAAAACCAAAAGGAGCTATGTTGAAATATAAGCTTAAAAAAGCTAAAAAAAGGAGAAATAATTGGTCCCTCAGCAAGTAGTCAGATAATGTAATGAATAGAATGTTGAAACTTAACAGAATTGCTCATTTGTATATCAAAGTCTCATGTAATCAGTATTTCATTTTAATTAGGCATTACTAAAATCAGTTTGTATGATAAATAAACCTAGTTAACACCAAATTTAAAAATTATTGTAGGAAAATATTGCTGGATTTGTTATTGGGAAGAAAAAGCAAATCTGATTTATTAGGATTGCTTTAATAAAATTGTGATTTCTGAAGATGTATCAGTCAAATTGTATAATAAGGTAAAATGTTACATTAACAAGCAACAAATAATTGTTTGCTTTCTTCCACTCTGTACTCATCTGTGTTGCTACAAGTCTGCTCCAGAGGGCGCCCCCAACTTTAAAAATTAGTTCTGTACGATGTTCAGGAGTGGACTACTAAGCGTTATCATTCAATTAACAGATGGCCACAATCAGTACTTTTAACAAATAGCATATGAGAAGTACAAAAAGCTTGAATTGATTAATATTTGCTTTTAGCTTTTATATGGTTATTTTATATGTGAATGACATTCAAAGTTCTACTTGTTGAAATGTTTTCCAGTGAAATTGATGCTTAAAACATCACTGAGCAGTGTTGAACTGGCAAAAGGGACAGTAGGAAGGCCTCTTTGAAATTTGCAGATGTTTTCCATTTTATTTCAGTTTTATCATCTCCCATATTTTTTTATAATCATAACAAAGTGATTTGTTATAAAATTGAAGGGGACTAGTCATCTTCCTTCCCTTCTTTAACTCAATTTTTAATAAGGAAAAATGATTCCATATTGACGTAGAATTAAAGGCAATTAACTTCTGGATGAATTTTAGGATTGCAGCTTTCATTTTTAAGATGTAAATTGATTTAACTCATTTGTTCTGCTTGCTCTGACACTGGAATCTTGCTCTGGAATTGGAAAATCATGTGTGATTACTGCTGTCATTTGATTAAAATAGTAATGGCTTTTGTTGTTACCCAGACACATTTAACATTTCTGAGAAAAGAACATACTTCATTATTTATAATCACTTAATCACCACTACCTATATGTTAGAAAAAGACAGTATTTACCTACAGTTTTTTTTAATAAGTACCTATATTTTAAAAACAGGAGATGTGATAGCTGAGCAGTTAAAGATGCTGAGCTTATCAGCTGGAAATTCTGACAGCCTGGGTTCAAGACCTGAGCACTGTTCAATGGGGTGAGCTCCCGTTGCTGCAGATACTGCCCATCTAGCAGTTTGAAAGCATGCAAATGCGAATAGAAAAATAGGTACCACTTTGGTGGGAAGGTAATAACATTCTGTGCACCTCAGCAAACAGTTATGCTGGCCACCTGACCATGGAAATGTCTTTGGACAATGCTGACTCCCTCAGCTATAAAACGGAGATGAGCACCCACATACACACCCTGACATGACTGGACAGGGGAAGTTTTTATCTTTACCTTTACACTTAAAAAATATTTCATTCTGGGATAATTGATACAGTGAGAGTTTTTCATTGTCTATTCAGAAGTAAATAGAATTATTTACATATGCTATGTCAAATAAGGCTATGGTTTCAATTATTTCTGGATAATGGATCTGTATAAAATAAATAATATCACTGAACTTTTGTTTGAATATCCATAGCTTTTAAGAAATCCATCTTAATGTAATTCCGTGTGTATCTTTAACAAAATATTTACTAAATTTTAGTTTTTCTATTTGCCATTAGGTATTGATTATTTTGGGTCTGGAAGGAAAAAAATGGGGTATGGGTGGTTAGAATACTGAATAAGTATTGGAGATTCCCTGCAAAAGGAAGATTTGCAAGATTGTTTTAAACATACAGACATTTCCATGAGGTTAACATTATTTAACTGGAATAAAATTTTAAATTGGCATTTAATCTAATTTTCTCATGTTATTTCATAATTTGAGTGCCAGTTAATCCTTTGTTTTTGAGTTTCTTGAATGCCAGTTAAAATGGCACACTATCTCTGGAAAGTATTATGGCTATTTTGGGGCTATGAGGAGCCCTAGAATCATAGCAGTGGATGTACTGTGTGTCTGAGCTGTCTGTAAAATTGTGGTCTCTGAAGTATGATCTGTTGATAATTAACTATTGTGATGGTGCAAAAAATAGCTTATGGACACAGTGTTATAGATCTTTGAAATGTGCCCCCAAAGGCACTGCTGTTTGTAGGAGGTGTGCTAAAAAAGGTGTTCCTTTGCTATACTGAGTTACTAAGCTTTGCATAATCCTGTTGACCCTGAAGTTATAGATTGAATCCATTCATTTTCCAATCTTCTAAAAGGTTAAGGATGGTTTTGTTCTTATGCATTTTAAATGTAGAACATTTGAGCAGCTGAATAACTCTTGTTGAAGCTGTGTTGAACTTTTGACACACATGAGCAAAGAGTTGTTTTAAAAAGACTCAATTAAACATTTTTAACCTTTGAAGCTAAATTAAATATGATTTATTAATTATTTATTTCTTTATTTGATTTATATGGCCACCCATCTTAAGTAACACTGCTTAAGCAAAGACTGGGCGGCTTACAACAACCGTAAAAGTAATAAACAGCAATCATAAAAACAAAAACAATACAACAAACACCCTGCATTGTAATTGTCCCCCTTGCCTTGGGACATCTCATAGCAGGCTCAGTCTTTTTTTGTTTTCTTTTCTTTTTTGCTTTCTTATTTATTTTCATTCTATTTCATATAAAACAGATTTAATATGGATTCCATATTATTTGGATATTGATTTGGATATTAAATAGATTTTACATTTCATAAAAGTGAGCCCAGGTCTCCATTAATTATTAGACAAAAATCATCCTGGTAACTGAATTTGATTGCTGCCCATTTTCCAAGAAGTAAAATGTGATATATATGGCTTTTAGCCACCAACCCTAATTCCCAGTGTACTAAAATGTTTTAACTATTTTGAGTTTTCAATATTTCTGCCTAAATATGACCTAAAACATGATCTGTTGTTCACATAAGTCCTAAAATTAGATAAAGAGAATCCAATTAAACAAAGACATTATACTTGTTCATTCTTTATTGAAATAAATTATCCAAAGCTACATAATTTTGCGTAACAAAAGTATGTGAATCTTTCTTTTCTGACGTGCCCACCCATGAACTGCAATTAAACATTTCTGACATATGATGATCAGTTCTAAATGGTATCCCATTCCTTCTAACAGAACAGCTTCAACTTAGGGACTTCCTCATACGAACTGCTTGCTTCAAATCCTTCCACAAGGATTTAATTTCTAGGATTAAGGTCAGGACTTTGACTTGACCATTCACAAACATTAACTTTCTTCTGCTTTAACCATTCGTTGAGTATATGACTCAAATACCTTTGCCACACACAAATATGTAGCTTGGATTTTTTTTCATTAATAAATGAATATAATGTTTTTGACTTTTTCGTTTAATTGAGTGGTTTAGGCTATATTTATAAAAAAAAAATACTGAAAATTTAAAAGACTTCATAAACTTTGAGACCTCACTCTAGGTTCATGGCTGACAGGGAGTTTGAATTCAGTGTTATGTAGGCTAGAACAATGGGATCATTCCAGACACCATTTCTCTCAAGGTTGTG